GTGTTGCCGACATATTTTCAAATTCGTAAACATTTATTGAAATCAAGAACAGGTTTTGAGTTGACAAACATATATCTGAAATAATGAATATTTTCTAATTTGACAATACATTTTGGATTCACAAAATAAAAAAAAAACTTTTGAGAACATTTTTTTGAAAATTCTGAACATTTTTGTCAATCGGCCGACATTTTTTGAATCGATGAACATTTCTATGAATTGACATAAGTTTTTTGAATTGGCAAACATTTTTTGAATCGATGACCATTTTTTGAATCAATGAATATTTTTTACATGAATGAACATTTTTTGAAATTCACAATAAAAAATTTATGAACATTTTAAAAACTTGTTGAATAGTGCTTGTATCCCAACTTCCGTCCTGATTAATTAAATACAGTGGTGATACCCATCAAAAGAAAATAGCTACGGTTGGCACAAAAATTACTGCAAATTAATCATGTGATGAAAGACTTAGACGTGACATAGTTTTTTTATGGACCCTGATAAGTGCCACACGTCAGGGACGTTCTCATGACAACTTTGAACATTTTTTATGACAAGTTTAGTTGCACGATGATGGCAAATTTAATTGAAAAGCCTGAAAACTTTCGTGCGTTATTTTATTTTCATATAAACTTGTCGTGTGTCACTGAAATTTGCCATCCTTGGATGACAATAATTGCCATCAAAAAAGTCAGACCCAAAGTGCCAAGCACCTAAGACCTATCATTTGGATACATTATACCTAAGATATTATTTACCAAAACCATAGCTGAGACATTTTCCCCAATGCAGGCGGGGCCGATGAAAAGTCGAACCCCTTGCCAACCTACTCAAAAGGTGTACACGGTCTCCCTCCGTCCCGAAATACTTGTCGGAGAAATGGATATATCTAGATGTACTTTAGTTTTAGATACATCCATTTTTATGCATTTCTACGACAAGTATTTCCGGACGGAAGGAGTAGTAAGTATATATTTGTTTCTAAATATAAGAAAAATTACTATTAAATACTACTATACCAAAGATATAAGAACATTAAATACTAGTATACCAAAGATATACCTAAATAAAAGAATATTTAATAGTAGTATACCGAAGATATTCTACAGTTAAATTCTATTAACTCTGTTCCAAAATATAAGAATATTACTATAAAATACTATTAGCTGTATTCAAATAATTAGTAACAGAAATAATATTCTTTAGTAGTGATATATCTTTATTCATCATTAAATATAAGAATATTACTAGTATTAAATACTAGAATCCCAAAGATATATCTAATAGTATACGAAAGATATACAACAATTAATATTACCTCTGTTCCAAAATATAAGACTGTTACTACTACCTCCGTCTGAAAATATTTGTAGTCAAAATGAATAAAAGAGGATGTATCTAGATGTATTTTAGTTCTAGATACATCCCTTTCTATCTGTTTTGATCACAAGTATTTTTGGATGAAGGGAGTATTAAATACTATCACAGCTATTCTTATATTTAGTAACAGAGATAATAGTATTTAATAGTAGTATATCACTGTTCCTAAATACTCCCTCCGTTCCAAAATTCTTGTCTTACATTTGTCTAGATACGGATGTATCTAACAATAAAATGTAACTAGATACATTTGTATTTAGAAAAATCGAAGACAAGAATTTGGGGACGGTGGGAGTATAAGAATATTACTAGTAAATACTAGTATGCCAAATATATATATAATACTATACCAAAATATAAGAATATTTAATAGAAATATACCAAAGATATGCTACTATTAAATGTTGGTATTAAATAAATAAATCTGTAGTTCAACACGCGGTCCCCACCTTGGCCCGTGCCTTCCGTTTCAGTTCATAAAGGGCAACACATGCTTCTGCTCCTCGCTTACATTCTTCTCATCCCGCTCTCATCGACCAACTCTGCGTGTCTGCTCGACCGATCCACCGCAATGTCTAGCTCCGGCGTCAATGCCATACCCGCAACCAACCATGAGGACCAGAGCCTGGCAGCCCCCGCTCCGCCCCCTGCGGCCGCGATCGCCCAGGGGAAAGGGAAGGTGCTTGCGCAACAGGTGCTTGCGCCAGTGGTTCACAAGCGCAAGCCCGGGAGACCCCAGGAGAAAAGCCCGCCCCCAGCGGCCACCAGAGAGGAGCTGGAATCCCGGGAGTCCCGGGAAGGCCCCTTGAAGGTGCTTGCGCTCCCGGCGCCAGGGGCCCCGTGTACTCACGCTGTCTCTGGCGACAAGATGATGAGACGCGCTCGCGCCCCCACCCGGCATGCCAACGTTGTCTCCGACGACAAGATCCGCGTTCGCGCCCCCACCCTGCATGCAAACCGTGTCTCCGATGACAAGATGGTGAGCCGCACTTGCTTTCCCCTGTCCTACTAGTGATTTGAAGTTAACCGGTGCCTAATGATTTGAAGTTACTGGCAATCTTTAATTTAGTCATGTGAATTGTACTAGTGCTTACTGAATTACCTGATGTGTATGTGCATGAACTACGTGGTGTGTATATGTCCTTGGATTTTCTAATCACTGCGGTCTATCTGGCATATGGACAAGAACGAGATGGCGAGCCGCGCTCGCGCCCCCACACGGCATGCAAGCGCTGTATCCGACGACAAGATGGTGAGCCGCGCTCGCTGCTCCCCCTCTGCTACTAGTGATTTGAAGTTAACCAGTGCCTAATGACCTGGAGTTATTGATAATCTTTAATCTAGTCATTTGAATTACTAGTACTAGTGCTTAATTTACTACCTGATGTGTATGTTCAAGAATTACGTGATGGGTATATGTCCTTGGACTTTCTAATCGCTACGGTCTCATCTGGCAGATGGACAGGGACGAGATGGCGCCGGACCAGGGGGTGCCACGCATGCGGGGGAGCATCGCGTCGTCAAGTGCGGTTGGTAAGTATACTTTATGCTGCTTTTTTTGTCAGCATCGTCTCCATGCAGGCTACACTGGCAAACAAGCAGCTTAGCTCTTGTGCATGCTGTTTTTTTGTCATCACTAGGGGCGTGTTTTGTTGCCGTGTGCTATAGTACCTGCGTTGCATACCAATGGCGGAGCTAGCATTTGACATCAGGGTGGTCTGACCCCCGAAAAAAAATTAACAAGAAATATGACATCTGGGCATTCTAAATACTTACCAATATGACACAAGTTCTCCAGCTTGCTCTTCGGCCACATCTCACATATTCATTGCCTTCTTCTTCTTCCCTATCTTCATAGCTTCTCTTTGAAAAGAGAAACAATGTCTCCGGTCCTCTTCACTCTTCAAAAATTCTGCAATAAAATTTAGTTTCTATCAATAAAGCTAATTGAGGCAGAAATGATATGCAAAATTATGTATGTGTTCATCAATTCATGATAGTGTAGTGCAAAAAAGCAAACCCTAAGTCAAAAAATATGGGGTTTCAGTACCTTAAATTTGATTTGCACATTTGCTGCGAATCTGTGATGCTACCGCTGGACGGCTGGAGACTTGCTGGTGAGCGGCACCTTCAACGGTCGTCGGCTTTGCAGGGAGGGCCGAGGGGGCGCAGGCAGTGGGCGGGCGGGCGGCAGGGCCAGGCGGCCACGGCTCCTGCTGGTCAAGGGGCGCGGGCGAGCGGTGGAGCCAGAGACG